CGCCTCACATTCCCACCCCTGCCGACCGAGGGGGCGACCTCCCTTTACGGAGGGATCGCGTACACATCATGATCCGCATCATAATGGGAATTCAGTAGGAAAGTCAACACACATTTAACTATGAGGTTCGCCCATTGAATAATTCGTGCGATGAAAATCAGTATATAATAATTGGTAGTATCTACTAGATCTAAACGGAACATTAATCCTAATAGATGAGATTAGGAAATCTAAAGGTATATTACCATATAATATTTTTAGCACAAACATGGAGTTAAACATAATACGTCTGCTTTTAAGTGTAGGCAATCTAATTAATCGAAAACATGTAATTCGCAGCCTTGCCGCCTGCTAAACATGATCTCTTTTTTCTACACAAATAAATACACGTGTGAATATCCCGGGTTTATTATACCCTCAGCCATATAGCTAGAGAGGGTATATATCATTTGATACGGCCAAAACGTGTCTCATCGAAATAACGGTTTGAGACCCTCGGTCTCTTTGGATTAAATCCGTTTCAGGACATTTGGAGCTGATCAAGCGATGTTCGTCCTGTCTGGATGGCTGGTGCGCACGATAACTATCGAAGGGAGAATCCGATTTGATCCAAACTTGACACATCGTAATAACATTTTCAAACTTAGATCGAGTTCAGAGATGGGCAATATCGATCCACTTCTTCTTGTACCTCCCCCACAAAAGCTTGAAATTAAAAAAAAAAAAAAAACTTTGCTGCACAGAAATGGAAAGGATAATACAATTTTGCTCCAACATTGCAAATCATAATATTTGCATTAGTGCTAGGTCAGGTGCGAGAATAGGCAATATAGGTCCACTCCATCAAGTACCTCCTCCACACAGGGCAAAAATTTTGAATACTTATGACCTTATAAAATGTGATGTAAGAGTTCGATAGTCTTCAAAAGTATGGTGCGTAGAATGAATGTGTCGGTCTACTTCTTCTGGTACCTCCCCCACAAAGGGTCATCATTTTGAATATTAATAAAGCTCATAAAACACTAAATGAACATCCGATTCCATGCAGATTTGGCAGATCTTGTTATTTCTACCAACACCAGATGGTCGACATTGGATTATTCCTTCTGGTACCTCCCCCACAAAGGATTAAAGTTTAGAATAACCAAAACGATTATAAAATCCGAAACAAGCGATCGTCTCTCTTCATTATAAAGATGGTAGAGATCGGACCATTTCTTCTGATACCTTTCCCACAAGATTTTGAAAAACCAAACGCTCAAAGAAAGCTTTAAATTTCACACATACAAACATTTTTGCTAACAAAAGATCTGTTGTGAAGATGATATATATCTGCGGATTTCTTCTGATACCTCATACACAAAGGCTCTCAATTTTTAATACTTTTATCTGTCGTAACTTGCGAAACAAGTCAGTGATTTTTTACAACTTGCTAGTCTAAATATTTCTGTCAAACTTGAAACTTGAAATAAATATGGAATTTATGATTTCATATAAAATTGGATATAAATGTTCGATTTTCTTGAAAATTCGCCCATATCAATATTTTTATCTGTATTAGATGAGGTATGAAAATGGAATACTTCGGTCGACTATATCTGGTGCCTCATGCACATTTTAACATTTTCTAAAAATGATCACATAAACCTGGCACGTCGCAATATTTTTTATCATATTTATTTAGGTCCGATACGAAATTGACAATATTGGCCCATTCCTTTGGAACCAGAGGATCGACAATTTGAATAATCAAAATATATTTAAATAATCGAACATTGGCTGAGGTCGGCAAAACCGACTTATACTTTTTATACCCTCCACCTTGGAAAGGTATACCCTAACTTTGTCATTCCGTTTGTAACATCCCTAAATATTCGTCGTAGACCCTATAATGTATATATATTCATAAACAGCGTAAAATTCTAAGACGATTTAACGATTTCCGTCTGTCTGTTGAAATCACGATACAGCCCACATTTATTGACGTAGAGCGTCAAAATTTAGCAGAATTATTTGTATTGTGTCTAGAATGGTTGGTATTGAAAATGAGATATATCGGTCTACGTTTTGGTATAGTCTCCATATAACGGTACATCCCGATATTCGGTATTTTGATGACTTTGGCACACTTTTTCAAGAATTTGCCTGAAAATTGGTATTCCTAAGTTTTATTCGGTATTTTGATGATTTTTGCCACATTTTTTCATGGATTTGTCTAAAAATTGGTATTTGTTGGTCATAATGAGTTCTAGCTCCGGTGGCGAAACTTTGCATGTATAGGTCCACGTTTTGGTATAGCCCACATATAACGGTACCTCCCGATATTCGGTATTTTGATGATTTTTACCACATTTTTCTTGGATTTGTCTGAAAATTGGTATTTATAGGTCATAATGGGTCCTAGTTCGTGCGCCGAAACATTGTATGTATAGGTCCACGCTTTTGTATAGCCTCCATATAACGATATCTTTCGATATTCGGTATTTTGATGATTTTTGTCACATTTTATAACGGATTTGTCTAAAAATTGGAATTTGTTGGTCGTGATGAGTTCTAGCTCCGTTGGCGAAATATTGTATGTATAGGTCCACGCTTTTGTATAGCCCTATATAGCGGTACGTCCCGATATTCGGTGTTTTGATGATTTTTGCCAAATTTTCCCATGTATATGTCTAAAAATTGGCATTTGTGGGTCATAATTGGTTCTAGTGTTTCCATTACCCTAAGGTGGAGGATATTAAAAGTTCGGCCCGGCCGAACTTGATGTTTTTTTACTTGTTGATACTGTTTTTGTTGTAAATAACCTACATTTTTACTGTCGCATTGTTTTTTATTACAAATAGAAATCGAAGTAAATAAATAATCTCATCTTTATGATTACCTTTATTTTTGTAAGATTAAAAAATGTTGATAAAATATGACATTATAAAAAAACAACTACAAATATCATGTAGTAATCTATCTGCAACTGCATTCTGACTAATTATATTTACGACATTTGGTGTCAGTGTGCTTTTAATTAGAGATAAAAATAGTCATGAGCCATAAAAATTTTTAAAATTTTAAACAAAAACACCTATACAAACAATGTTGCATTGAAGATTCAACGGATAATTGCGCGGTAGTTTAAAAATATTGTTAAACTCAGTTTGACTAGTTGAGAACCCTTAAAAAGCAAATAGACGTTTTAACAAAACTCTATGTCAAAGTTAAGAAAATAAATGAGAATTTGTAGAGAAACTCTAAATCATCATGTAAATCACAATTTTTAGTAAAATTCGTCTTTATATGAAATTTGGAAGACAAAACATTTTCAAGTCATTTTATAAGTTGTTTTGTTTTTCAAATTTGCTCTGTTCCAGATCCTGTAAGAATCTACTGGTTATGCATTTTTTCAATACAATAATACGGCTATCGTAGTAAAAACTTTACATTCTTGCAGTTCTGGAACAGACCAATTGTATTAAGCCCCGTTTTTATTTTTTAATTTTCAATTTGTACAGTAACCCATAGGGCCATGGACGGTTCAAAAAACTTCCATATATGACTACTCTAAAAAGACACTTGAAAATATTTGCTAGGATTCCAAACATTTGTTTGCTTCAATTGATCTGTTCCAGATCTGCAAGCATGTAAAACTTTTTACTACAATTGCCGATTTTCCCTTTATGATATAGAATGTACTGGAACAGACCAAAATGTTTCTAAATATAAACTCAAAGTTAATCCTCTTGAAAGTGTATTTAGTTAGGATTAAAAGAATTGGTTGAAATGTTGACAAAAAATGGAATGTTTCATGACTTCATTCGAATTCAAACAAATGGGCCGTTGAAATCCTTGCATCTCAAAGAACCACTTCCAAAAATGTTGCTGGGTAGTTTCTTGAGTTTCTATGTTCATTTTCTTACTACAATAGTAAAAAATCTTGATTTTTCTTTGAAAATTTTTCCAGATCCAGCTTGATTCCAGAAAAGTAATTTTCTATTGCGGGATATTTGACCCAAAAGTCCGGGACCAAGACCCGTGTTAGATCAAAAAATGCCCCTTAATGGAAGTCTATACTATACTATTCCTATAGATGGCTTTCGGCTGGGGCTTAACATATTCTCCCTTGGGAATGTCCAACCAATAACACATATTGTAGCATTTGCAAATGTTATGTCATCAACTAAAATTTGGCATAAAATGGGACCTTTTTCGACTTTTGGGGGATCTTTAAGAAAAAATCCTGGTCCAAAAAATCAATAATTTTGTTACACCTCCTGAACCCCACCATGGGATAGGTATTTTCACTAGCTCTTAAATAATACCTATATTGTCCATATCGATTTAGTAGGTCTGGCTCTCAACCTCAAGAAAAAAAACTTTCCCAAAATCAGGATATGAATACGAATCTCTGAGAGTATTTTCAAAAAAAAAGAGTTTTTACTAAACTAGACTTGAGCCTTCAATATAATTACGGAATTTTTTTTTGTTTGTTTAAATTATCAACCAATCTTTAGTTCATTTATTGAACCTGAACCTCTGAATCCAAGTGTCGTCGAGAAACAACAATTCGGCTTTATAAAAAAGCAATACCGGAACGAGTTATTCCAAATCAGCTGAACACCTTCCACGCCAGTGTGTTTAACATGTTTAAAGTTAGAACTAAATTCTTTCACTTCGCTTCATAAGATAAACCACCATATGCTCAACTCTACTCACCAACAACAAAATGGTTAATTAACCACAATAATGTTCCACTGTTTCCACAGTTCTAGTGGAAAGCACAAAATGTAAATAAAAACATGTGTGCGAGTCTAGCACACGCACACACACACTCACAAACATCTTAGAAATGTTCATTTGCAATGGTATAGCCATTTGTTTGTATGACAAATACAAAAAGTGAACAAAATACAAAAAACAGATGTATTGATGATAGGAATAGTACCCATTCGGAGGTGTGTGTGTGTGTATTTCTGTGTACATGAATAAATAAAATGGGTTATCATAATTACCATCCGCTATGGTCCAGCGTATTTCGCTGGTTATCGGATCAATAGCCGTCAAACCGCCCCCTAATGTGGAAAACACCATTAGGGTCTCCTCATCGCGGGCCAAATCGGTGCAGCCCTGCTAAAAAGAAAAGAAGTTAGTTGAAAATATATTATTTACGTTGTCGTTTTTTGTTGCCGGTATTCGAAAAATTGCCAATAAAAAAATTTCTTTCCTTCGCAGTTATCTTCTGATAACGAAGAAAAGAACAAATGAAAACAACAGCAGATACTAAGACATACCTTGGCTTGACTCAGACCTCCGCCGACACCGTCATTATCATCATCATTCACAACAATACCAACACTATCTTTTTGCGAAGAAGTAGCTGTTGCTGGTGTCGCTGTCGTTGTTTTTGCAGCTGCCGCCGTGGCTGATGCAATAACAATTAACAAGGCAAAACAGCGAAATAGAAGCACAGATTTACGAAAAGATTTCTGTTTTTTATTTTTGTCCGAAACCGAACCGCCGTTCTTTGCTGGCACCGCCATTACCACGATTTGTTGCGACGAGTACTTTTGTTGGAAATTTATTTTGTTTTCGTTCATTCACATTAATAAGCCACTAGAATTTGTTGTTGCTGTTGTTGATTTTTTGCATCATTCGTTTTTGGATTTGTCACTTTAATCACATCTATTTTCATTTATGTAGCACAGAACTCTTTTTTGACGTTAACAGAAATTACAACACAATTAGCACTTTTTTATATTTTTTATAAATTTATTAAATTCGTTTTTTGCACATTTTTTTTTCACAGTTCCAGAAGGAAAATATCTCATTCAATTGTCAAAACAGAACTGAAGAAAAAAAAACGATGTTTGACACATATTGCGTTTTGCTTTGACAAGCAAATGCTTGACATGCACACAAACTTGCCAGATTTGTAAAACTTCAAATGAGAAATTTTCACAACGTTTACATGAGATAAAATATAATAAAAATGAGTTTTTTTACTACCACACATGGTACAATGAATTCAAGGTAGGGCAGAACTACCATATGATTTGAATTTTTTTATTTTTCTGGCTTAATATGTCAACTTCATTTGCTTATGTGTGTGTCTTCTTTTCAAAAATAAAAAATTGTTCAGAAAATATTCAAATTCGGGTGTTTTCAAAATGCTTATTGCAACGAATGCATCGACAAAATCTACAGTTTTTGTCGCGAAATAAACTATAAGAGATATATAGAACATGATATTGAAAAGAAATTTTGACTATTCATTCAGTTTTCGCGGTTTTAAATTATTTATTCAAAACCAATGCAACAAGTTGTTTGCTTTTTTATTGTTTTGATAGTAATTCTGACATTACAAGCCAAACAGGTAGACCTCATATTTGCAATTTTTTCAAAGTTGACCTATCTTCTCTTCATTGTACCATGCTACCACATACTTGAAAGGAGAAACAAAACGATTCAAACAAGTAGAATTTAAAAAATTGCAACTTATAATTTAATTTATGGTTGCAGGGTAAATATTTGGGAAAATATATAAAAATCTACTTATATTTGAAAATGCACGTCTCGCAATTTATGTGTCTTCCAAACATTGATTTTATTCTGTTTTTATTTTTCAAAACAATAAATACATACACAAATTGTCAGTTCCAGAACCAGCATTTTTTTCCGATATTATAAAGGGAAAATCGATTATCATTAGAAAAACTTTCACATTCTCGCAGTTCAGGAACAGAGCATGGCTCAATAAGAAAGGTTTCTCAACCTCGAAGAAACAAGGAAAATGCAACTCTGTACCGGAGTCTTATAGTGTTATATATATTTTTAAACCTGCAACAATTAGTTTTGTTTATTTTACATTTTTTTTTTGAAAATTTGAATGTAATGTTGGGGTTTCTCCACAAAATTGAATCCAATATAGAGGGACAATCATGGTACAATGAAGAGAAGGTAGGTCAACTTTGAAAAAATTGCAAGTATAGAGGTCTACCTGTTTGGCTTGTAATGTCAGAATTAGTATCAAAACAATAAAAAATCAAACAACTTGTTGCATTTATTTTGAATAAATAATTGAAAACCGCGAAAACTGAATGAAAGGTCAACACTTCTTTTCAAAACCATGTTCTATATATCTCTAAAGGATTATTTCGCTACAAAAACTCTAGATTTTGTCGATGCATACGTTGAAATAAACATTTTGAAAACACCCGAATTTGAATGTTTTCTGAACAATTTTTTTGTTATTGAGAAGAAGACACATACATAAACAAAAAAGATGACATATTAGGCCAAGAAAATAAAAAAATTAAAATCATATGGTATCATAGCCCTACCTTGATATCATTGTACCATGGGGACAATGTTGTTTCATCCCAAAATTATACATTTTGTTGCCGTTAACGTGAAAAATTTGAATTTTTGTTGCAACCGTATTTGAAATATTAATAATAATAATTTGAAATTATTTTATTTTTTATTCAAAGTAATACATATACTCATACAAACTGTGTATAGGTTTTGACAAAAGAAAAAAATGTATTTAGGAGGTACCTTTGTTCTACCTTCTGTTGTTGTGCTATGGTCTCAAGGATTTGGATAGGCAAAGACCATGGTGGAAGAATACAGGTAGTCGACTCGACACAGCTGCTGACGCAATGAACTGTCAAACCGATTTTGGAATTGAAAATGGTGAATGAAATATTATTGAAATTTGCAAAAATTGTTGAAAATTTTATAAAATAACAACCACCGATTTGCGTCGTGTAAGAAAACATTTAATTATATACTTATTTTTGATAAACCATTTTAAAAATTTTGACATAACAATGTTCCTAAGCGTCGATGCAACTACCTATATTCTTCTACCATGGGCAACGACTCTATCAAATTCTTATTGACATCTGGAACAAACGCAAATTCTCTGACGAGTGGAGGAAAACAAGAACCTATGCCTTTCCCTTTTTTTTTTGCTGTCCATAAATGGTCAAATTTTTTTTCCTAAATATGAGCGTACAGCTGAAAAGAAACTTAGATTTCATTCCGACCAAATATTTTGTCATTTTCACGCCTTTAACAGGAAGGAATTCAAGGAAGAATATAATCTAAAATAGTATACTAAACTATCAGCCTTATAATGCATATAAGTTTAAATTATAAATGAATAACATCCCGAAGATGGCCTTAATATCATTACAGAAAATTGCCAGCGAAAGATGTCGTTTTATACAGAATCATTTTTGATTCGGTTATTCTGGGATTTTATATTATATTATATTATATTATAAGTCCATTGAACCTACACAATTCAGAGGTAGCAATCGCAGTGAAAGCTGAAAATAAAAGATTATTGTTTTGTAAAGCATGTATGTAAATAATTCAAAACATGTACGTAACATGAAAATAAATTTTATTTAAAAAATTAATAGTTATTTTCAGCAAATGAGTTTGCCCTTATTTTACCGCCATGTTGAATTGTTTTATCAAAAATGTTTTCACATTTCATTGTACCACCTTCGTTGATGTCGCTACCTGTATTATTGTATAATACCCATTCGCCCATTCGTAAACTTCTTATCGACCTCCCTTTGTACCTTTCAATTCATAACATTTTGTTTGTTTTTGTTTTCTCTCTCATCTCTACGCTCAACATATGTTCATATGTTGCTCAACCTTGTCTTCGGAACGAACGATTCAGTGGATCCATCTCATTGGTATTCCCATTAAAACATACCACCCATTCTCCACAAATCAAAGTAAATGAACACCCAAAAGAGATGACAGTAACATTGATTATCAGGAGAACATTAACCACTTGTAGTAAGCTAGGCGCTAAGCAGATCCCAAACAATTTGAAGGGCAGGAGTAAAAGTTCACAGGAATGGTTAACCCGGCAATTGGCCGATCCATATGTGGAGAAGGCCAAAATGATGAACTATCGTTGCCGAAGTGCATTCAAACTGCTAGAAATCGATGAAAAGTACAACATTATTCAGCCAGGGGATTGTGTAATAGACTGCGGTGCCGCACCGGGAAGTTGGACACAAGTGGCAGTGGAAAAATGTAATGCTAATGGGCGCATGGAAAAGAAACCAAAGGGGGCTGTATTTAGTATGGATTTATTGCACTTTCACAGTGTTCCAGTGAGTAATGGCACCATTGACTTGTATTTTGTTCTCATCTTTATGGAAACTTTTTTTTTATAGGGAGCAACAATATTTGGTGGCATGGACTTTACGAAAGAGGAGAGCAAACAGCAACTTATAAAAGCACTGAATGGTAGAAAAGTCAATTGCGTATTGTCCGATATGGCTCCAAATGCCACAGGTGTGAGAATATTAGATCAGGAGTCCATTGTTAATTTATGTTACGATGTCCTACGTTTTGCTCTTGTCATGTCGGCACCTCAAGCCAATCTCGTTGTAAAGGTATGGGATAATGGTGATGTACCCAGAATGGAAAAAGATATCCAACGATTCTATGAAAAAGTGAAGAGGGTAAAACCCAGATCTAGTCGGGACGATTCCGCCGAACAATTCTTTGTGGCACGAGGTTTTAAGGGATTAGAAAATATTATGAATGAAGAAAAGAAAGAAACAAAATAAACCTGACATGGTACTCAGATGCGATTCTTTTATTTAATATTGAGGTCGTTCAACCATAATCATGAATAATGGCCGTTATCGCCATATAATAAGTGTGTGATTTCTTGCAATCACAGAAGTAAAAATTCAAATCCACCCCGTAACGGAGAACATAACATTGTACCATGCTTATCATGCAAATTATGGATACATTTTCTTGTGGAACAAATCAAATTTATAATGAACACCATTTCAGTTAATATTTTGTTTAAACAGATTCATTTTTATTTAATAATTCATTACAAACAATTTTATTATTCACATTGTTGAAAAAAAAGAAAAATGAGATGGGTACTAATTGTACATAAAATAAGATTTTTAGAACATTGCAGTACATTATTGTATCATATACAATTTAGGCAATCTTCTTGTAGTGCGTTAGATGGTCAATCATCCAGAACATCCACTTTGGCTGATCAGTTGGTGCCATATGTCCAGCATTACGTACCATAATTTCAATTAAATGTCCAGCATGCTTGGCATAACCGGCGATTTCGTCGTCAACACGCCATATTTTGCGTTCTGCCACTTTATACAGGTCGGCATCCTTGAATTTCAAATGATTTAAAAAGTTTCGAGTTAAGGGATATGCCACAATGATGTCCAGTTGACCATTATAAATACAAACTGTGTAGAAATTTAAAAGTTCCGCAATCCATGGAGCTACCGTATCCATGACATCGCGTTTTAAGAAAATTTCTACCTTGTTTTCGGTATCCAAATCGTGGTAAGTTAAGTTGCCAACATGTATGGAACGTCGTGTAGTGCTCGATTGGATAAATTCACCCATTATTTGACCATAATTATCTCCTTTCGTGTGCAAATAGTTGTAATAGTAATTGTACCCGGTGAGATTGCTGAACAAGGATCCATTGACCATGTCACCATTGAGGAGATTATCAAATATATCGAAAGCACAATCCATATCGTGCTTTTCGATGCATTTTACGCCTGCGGCTTCGGCATCATGAAACTGTTTCAATCCATGGTCATCAATTAGGCCAAGTTGATACAAATAATCACCATATTTCAGTTGATGAATGGGATCCGAGAGACCATTGCCAATGGCTACACCTTTCAATGGTATGTGTACACGGGTGTCAATGGCATTTTGAACCTTGTGAATGTGATATGCCAAGGCGGGTACATATTTACCAGCATACGATTCACCAGTTATCCAAAATCCTCCATCTTGACTCCACTGAAACAGTTCGTACAGTTGCTGCATTGCCTCGTGTAAATTGTGTCCGACGTCTTTTTCATTTCTAGCGTAGCCCTCGTCTTTGTCCGTGAAAGAGAAACCCGTTCCAACGGGATTATCAATGAATATCAAGTTGTGGGTTCTACTCCACGTATAATTTCGCTTTTGTAATTTGCCATGTTCATCAAACTCAAATGGACCATTCTCCGTGAAGAGCCCAAATAATGATGAGGCTCCTGGACCACCTTGTAGCCACAAAACTACTGGAGCATATGCTGAATCATTTTCAGCTGGGAAGTACCAGAAAAACATATTAGAATTAAATTTCAGATCGACTGTCAAAAATCCAGCATAACTTTCTACACCATGATATTGAGAACCCACAACTTTGGCCTTGTCTCGAATAGCCGATCTTGGAATCGATTCATTATTAATCAGTGGCGTCAGAAACAGTGGTTCACCGGGATTTCCCCCGTCTACAAACTCTCGAAACCTCGGATAGGGGTTAACAAAGCTTTTACGATAAAGGGGGCGTTTCCTATCAGACGCATCACATAACCCCGCCGCAACCAACAAGAACAACAAACCAACCAATAGATGGTGATTTGCACTTTTCATTTTGCAGAGCTACAAAGAAAAAATAAAAGAATTCAAACTGATGAATGCACAAGTACATTGTTAACATTGCGAATATTTAATTAATCCGCATTTTTGAATTGATAATTACTCACAATTCTCTTTTTCGATTAGATAAGAAAATGAGCTCCTCTTTGTTTGACTTAACACAAACAGAATGAATGCACTTTCTACCGGTTTATTCGTTCTGCCTAACACAGCGCCCCACAAATGCGAAATGCGCCAATTGTTTACAGCTGATAGTTAATGGAGTCAAATATTCACTAAAAATGGATAGCTGCAGAGGCCATTGCTTTTGAGAAATTCGTCAATTGTGTTTACACGACTGTGTTCAATTTCTTTTATATTTGGGTCATACAAATAGGGCTTATGGGATGTGAGATGCATTTTCATCGACATGGCAAGATTCGCATAACGAGGATGGATCAACATTAATTTTTCCCAGTGTTTCGGGACAGAAACAATGTCTGCCAAGTATTCTATTTATTAGGCGGCCGAGTAAATTTTTGAAACCATGTTTTTCTTGTAGAAAAGAGAACTACTTTCGGCTTGATAATTCTAATCCCATTCTTTCCAAAGATCACCATTTATGCAGCCATGCATTAGCTATTGGCCAAGACAAATTCCGACGAGAAACAATTTCCTTCGCCATATATGGTTGACAATTTTCTTAAAATAGGGAAACTAGGGGGCCAGTAACAAGGACCGGGACAGTTGTTGTTGTTGTAGCAGTGACAACGTGATCCGTTGTTTATTGACTAATTAATCCGGTTCTTCCTCGATGTCCAGGTTTAGGAATTTTGCTACCTTTATGTGCTGTAGCCAAAGATCCTCTGGACGGAGTTGGGTAGGTTTGGCTGGACAATTAAACAGGTACAGGCTGGGCAGGCGTTCCGCACATCTTCATCAGTTCGTGCCCACGATAACACCCAAGCTGGTATTAGAACGAAAGCATATAATTATGCTGACATAAGGGAAGAACCTTCGTCCCCTCATGTAAATGGTCCACAGGGGTCATGAGGAGGCACCCTGTTGCAGTTCTCAGGGCGGCATTCTGGCAGGTCTGAATACTTTTCCACTGCGTTTAACTTGTATTCACAAACCACACTGGAGCCGCATAGCTAACCACAGGCCGACATATCCCTTTATAAGAGGTCAGCGCCTTGACGACCTTGTTCCTACTTTTCAGTTTATCACAGATAGCTGTGGATTGCGCGGAAGACTTGAACATGCTATCGAATGTGACCCCAAGGATTTTGGGGTATTTAGTGGTCGGAATTATGTGCCAATCGACCTGCACATTCAGCTCTGTTCTCATCACCGCAGTCCATGTGGTAAATAGTGTGGCCGTTGATTTAGTTGCGAATATTTTCATATTCCTCGCATGTTAGAAGGCGGAAAGCTCCGCGAGATAGCTGTTCACCCTGACACATATGTCATCGACTACAGGACCAGACGCCATGGTCGTACAGTCATCCATCTCGATGCCGTATGGAGGGCGCGGAATTCCGGAAAGGTAGAGGTTAAGGGCTAAGTACATAAGAAGCTTGAAGTCATGGCTAGGCATATTAATGTCAAATTATAATGGAAAACGACGGCTGGATTTTAGTGCGGCTCTGTAATCCCTTTGTGAAATGTCACAAAATATGCCTAGCCATGACTTCAAGCTTCTTATGTACATAGCCCTTTAAACAGTTTCACTCTACGGGGCTTAGACTTCTTGTTCCGGAATTCCACGTACTACTGGCGTCCACACATATAAATGATTATCGAACGTTTCAAGCTTGGACGGAGGGTTGCATGGTACAATGATATCAAGGTAGGGCAATGATACCATATGATTTCAATTTTTTTATTTTCTTGGCTTAATATGTCATCTTTATTTGTTTATGTATGTGTTTTCTTTTCAATAACAAAAAAATTGTTCAGAAAACATTCAAATTCATATGTTTTCAAAATGTTTATTTCATCGTATGCATCGACAAAATCTAGAGTTTTTGTAGCGAAATAATCCTTCAGAGATATATAGAATCTGGTGTTGAAAAGAAGTGTTGACCTTTCATTCAGTTTTCGCGGTTTTCAATTATTTATTCAAAATAAATGCAACAAGCTGTTTGATTTTTTATTGTTTTGATACTAATTCTGACATTACAAGCCAAACAGGAAGACCTCTATACTTGCAATTTTTTCAAAGTTGACCTACCTTCTCTTCATTGTACCATGGAGGGTTGTATTCTCACCGTCCTCGAACAGCGTGGCATGGTTGACCGTATCAAAGGTCTTTGATAGAACAAGAGCCACCACTATTGCTCTATGGCACGGCGTGTTCTGATTGAGTCCTCGACTGATATGTAGTGAACGGAACCCGTTTTTATGGTTAGCAACTAAATACCTTCCTCTGATACTGGGGAGGAGTAAAGCCTCAAGAGTCTTTTCTACTGGCGACAAAAGCGAAATTGTATGATTCGCCTTTACTGGCATCCTTGCCTGGCTTCAGTAGCGGGTCCACCCTGCCCATTTTCCAGGCTTGGAGAACTATGTGGGTGGCTAACGAAAAGTTAAGGACTTTGGTTAGATACTCAATTCCCGGCGCACCCAGTTGCTTAAACATTACCATTGATATTCCGTCCGGGCTCAACGCTTTAGATGACTTAGCATTTCTGATGATATTCGCAAATCACCCATCGTAAACTGTGTAGGTACTTCCTCGGCCGGAGAAGCTCTTATACGACGTAGTACTCTTCGCTTCGCCCTATCACTCTCGGGATGCTCGACAAATTGGTGGCTGTTGTTGTTGCTACCTCCTAGATAAGGTCGGCCAAGAAGGTCCCTTCATGCATCGTAGGTGTGACGCATACATACAAATATTCACTAACACCACACACGGGGCACTTTAAAAAACGCAAGATATTTTGACAGTTTCGTGCGGTTTATTCACTTTATTCATATATTTCGACAGTACAATATTTCATATTGTAAAATTTTAATTCTAGCTGATGCATACACCTTTCTTAATTCACTGTTGCTAGAACTAATATACATGGCTCGATTTAGTGAATAGTTTTATTGCTTTAGTTCAATTCATTACAATCACCTGTGCGAGGAGGTTCTTCTTGAGGTGCTTCCTGCCAAGCGTTGGAAAGGTTTACTTTAACTACATTGGAAATATCTTAACTGTCAACCGATATCATGTCTTGGGGCGAAACTCTAAATTATTTAACTCTTGGAAATCCCGTCAGCCAGGCTGTTATTAATTCAGCTTCTGCCGTCCTTAAGGGTTCCGTAAGTTTACCTTATATCTTGAAGATATCGTATAATATACATTGTCCATTGTTTTGCGAAATTGTAGGGACTGAAGCCGAAGCAAGCTATACAGGATGTTGTTGTGGCTCCACCCAAACTATTGAATTTATGGGAAATTGCTGGTAACAATTATCACTTTGTGCGTTTAGCCGGTTTAAGTGGAGCAACTGCAGTCATAATGGGTGCTTATGGAAAACATTATTTGGTGAAGATTATAGATGCCAAAGAGCAAATGGAATCGAAGGCAGTCTTTGAAACAGCCAATCGTTTTCACTTCCTGCATTCGTTTGCCCTTTTGGCAATGCCATTGGCTCGTCGCCCTGTGTTGGTAAGTTGCATGTATGTTATATGCATTAACGGAACAATAGATCATTTACCATGTTTTAAATTTACAAGTGCATATTTCATCCTGGTTGTAAAAACATAAACATCTGTAGGTGGTCGCAGCCTATTGTCTAAGAATTTAATTATCGAAGCTTAATTCAATCCAGAAGCTGTATTTAATTAATCAATTTCAGATTTTCATTCTTTATTCAAATTTTGGTGAAACTCATATGCCGATTAACCGTTCTAAATAGTTTTTAGTTTTATTTTCGTTTTTGAATCGATTTATTAACATATTAGTCATCTGTCCAGGTGCATTCCAAGATTTCTATTTTTACCTCCACCATAGTATGTGTTTGTCATTCTGTTTGTAACACCTTGATATGTGTACTTTAGATCCCACAGTATAAAATCTACGTAGATTTAGCGATGTCCGTCCGTCTATGGATATCACTCTAGCTTCCGAAGGAAGTAGGTTGATAAAATTTTACTCAGAGTTGTGTTAGGTCTGAGGTCCTATCTTCTTTACCGGCAGATTTAAGGTATTTTGGTTATTTTAGACACAATTTTAATTTTTTGTTCCCAGTATGTAGAAAACATCCTGAAAATCTACGTAGATTTAGCGATGTCCGTCCGTCTATGGATATCACTCTAGCTTCCGAAGGAAGTAGGTTGATAAAATTTTACTCAGAGTTGTGTTAGGTCTGAGGTCCTATCTTCTTTACCGGCAGATTTAAGGTATTTTGGTTATTTTAGACACAATTTTAATTTTTTGTTCCCAGTATGTAGAAAACATCCTGACATAGAACATATTTATAAGTTACACTCAAATGGTGGAATGTATTAAAAGTTTGGCCTTTCCGAACTTATCTGCTTTTAACTTGTTATGGGATATATTAATTGAATTGATTAATTGGGGCAAGACACACAGAGCAACCATGGGAAAGCTCACTTGCCAGAGTTCAGAGAATTCACCAACCGTTGCTTCAGAGAACTGCCCAAATCTTCTGATGTTCGGATAACAGAGAGGATTTTCCGAAACATCATGAAAGCTGCAGCGGCTCGCCATATACCTGCTGGTCGAATGCCCCAGATAAGACCAAATATCCTAGCAGAGGCAGCGGGATTAGCAGACGACCGTGATGACCTCCGTCGTACCAACCATAATGATCCTAGAATTTGTGATTTGACAGTGGAAGTCTACCGGTTGGTACAGGAGCATAAGAGGAAAAAATGGCTAGACCATCTGAAGTGTTGCAATGTTGGAACCGATATGAGTAAGCTGTGGGTAAAAGTTAAATCGCTCTCGAACCCTGGAAAAAAAAAGAAGATAGGACCTCAGTCACTTTTAACGACGTGACGTTGATTGATCCGATGAGGCGCGCTGAGTATTTTAACCGACAATTCGTTTCGACAATTTATTCGACAATTCAGGCACTCCAAGAGCGACAGGGCGAAGCGAAGAGTACTACGTCGCATCAGAGGACGAACCACCGCAGTTTACGAAGTCCTTCCCTTACGTCAGCATAATCATATGCTTTCGTTACAGTACCTGCTTGGGTGTTACCGTGAGAGTCATCGCAACCATCATATGGTGGATACAACCCCCAAACCAGGTGTGGGTTGTTGTATTTGTTCTCTCCGATTAGAAGTCCTTTATGAATTGGTTCCATGTTTTGACATAGCCTCCAAATAGCTAACTATAGGTATAAGCCACCCGAAATGACTATTGTTCGATATTTTCTAATTTTTTATTTGATTAAAACTTAGAACAACTCATTACTAAATTAAACCACAATTTTATATGGATATCAATCAATTTATTTGAAAGTGGAGCATTATTAGACATAAATAAAATGCGTACATACATATGTGCCGTAGTTTCTTTTTTACTTTGTCTTTTGTTTTTTTTTTTAATTGATATGGGTATTCTATTGATTTGCAACCTTTTTTCTATATTCTAAAGTTAGTTATCTTAAATTATTGTACAAAAATGTTTCAATCGTTTGGATAATTTATTGTGTATGTTTGTTGTGTTGTTTTTTTTTTTTTCAAAAATAAAGTATTTTTTCCATTGAGCTACTTGCTACTCCCTAAAAATGACTACTTATGGCTAAATGAATTAGTTGCGTTTTTTAGAATTCTCTTTTTGTTTCATCGTAACATTGATAATTGACATGATTTTTAATATTCTTTTTTTTTTTTTGTAAAATAATGTTCGTAGTCCCAAGAAACATAAATTTCAACATTTATTGCACCAAATATTGAAATAAATATTTATTAATGTAAAAATAAAAACTCAAAAGTCTTGTGGAAGTAGATGGCTCTCAAATATCTTTGAAAATTCCAATAAACACGCAGGGGTTTTATGTTCCCTTATGAAAGCAAAATAAAAATACAGGGTGAGATGAAGAAAACTGCAACCAACTTAAGACAGCTGCCGTTTCCAAGCCACTCGTCCAACAGCTTTTAAAATTATTCCAGTGACAGCTCATTATATTGTTTACAAGCGTACAAGAGTATTTTGTTGAGAATTTTCCAGAAAAAAAAATTATTCGTGATGGAATTCAAGTATGATAGTGTGATTTCTTTATATTTGGCTGGAAAACCACAAGTGGCTATCGTTAGAGCACTCCAGCAATTAAATGTAAATAAATCTTTTGTGTATCGTACCGTATCGCTCGTTACCGTGATACTGGTAGCGTAGTCCGACGTCAAGGAAGTCGACGGAAAAAGCAGCAACATCAGCAGAAATATTATGGTTCGAAAAATAAAGAAGTGACTTCATCGAAACCCGTGTCACAGTGGCCGAAAAATGCCTTGTGAGCTGAACATATCGCAATAATCCATTCGGCAAATATTGAAAAATGAGCTCGGGGTAAAGACATTGAAATTGCAAAAAGTACAAGAACTTACACCGCAACAGAAGAAAAATAGACTCAAAAGAGCTAGAGAGTTGCTTCGCTTGGCCGAAAGTGGCGAACTACCGAATTTGGTTTTCTCCGGTTTCGACGAAAAAACTTTCATTGTCCAACAGTTTGTAAACAAACAAAATGATTGTGTGTACCTGCCAAAGAGGTCATGATGATGGTGTGGGTCGCCATAACAGCCGATGGTCGCTCTCCGCTCGTATTAATCGATCGTGGGATCAGAATAAATGCCGAATATTATCGCGAAAATATTCCGGGAGTGTACTAAAGCCTTGGGCACGCAAACATTTTCGCCGCAGTCCTTCGACATTCCAACACGACTCGGCACCATTGCACTCAGTACGCCACCCACCCAAGAATGGTTACAAAATGGGGTCCCTCACTTTATTTCCAGCGTACAATGGCAACCAAAATCTCCGGATACCAATCCTTTGGACTATTGTGTCTGGAGCAATGTTGGCACTCAAAAATACCAAAGTGTCGATCACCTCCAGCAAACGCTAAAATATCGCAGAGCAACATTCGGGCAGCAAAGGTGACCAACTCAAACAAATTTGAACTTATTCTAAAATTTGATGTTATTTCCGACATTTTTAGCTTTCTTTCAAAAAAAATTTAAAGCAAAAATGTGAAAGTGATGGCGTTTTGACGTTGTTGCAGTTTTTTTTATCTCACCCTGTAGATGGCTCTCAAATATCTTTGAGAATGAAAGCAAAATAAAAATAATGTTTTAACTTTATAGAGAACACCATTTGTTTTTTCTTTTCTTTTTTTCCTTACATAACTAATTGATTTTTTGTAAATAATTGGTATCAATTTGTTAGCTAATAACAACCACTATATGGAGTTTAATTTGTCCATTTGTTACATATGTATGTTTTTATGTTTATGATTTTTTTTTTGCTTTTCATAGGCAAGAGGATTTTTTAATTACAAAAAATATATTTCATTTTGCGTTTTTTCGGTTTGTTTTGTTTTAGAATCTTGTTACAACATTAAATGCATTATTATTCTTGTTTAATTTTATTTTCAAGTTTTCAACTATTTAATGGAAAGAGGTTTCAGGTTAGATTAGGGTCTCAATTTAAGCTTTTGTTTTTAATTTAGAATTTTTGTAGTTTTTTTTGTTTTTTGATATTTTCCATGTTTTGTTGTAATAAAAGCTCTAGTTTAATATTAGTCACTTGAAATAAATCTAAGCTTACAAAATATTTAATACTATAATTTGATTTTCTTTTAGACTGGCTCTTTGATGGCAGCTGGTACAATCTTGTTCAGTGGACCCATGTACTATCGGGCTTTGACAGGTGACAGAACCTTTATACAAGTGGCCACATGTGGTGGCTTTTGTTTAATTGCTGCCTGGTTATCATTGATATTTTAAACAAATTGTAAAGTTATTTTTTTAATGAGCTATTGTATTCTTCTACGTAAAACTCTTATGTGTGAGGGAGGGAGAAACCAAAAAATGGAATATCTCAATTAATTACACAAAATACACAATATATCGTTATGTTTATAAGAAAACTAGTTGTTAATTGTACTGATGTAATCGGAAACAGAAAAAAAAAAACAAACATGCAACACTTTCGGTGTTATTTTAATGTATATTTTTTAATGAAATGTAAAAACTTTTTATTTATTTTGTAATTTAATTTCTTCTTGTTGTTCTACTTGTATTCTATTTAGTTGTAAATCTTTTTTCATTACTTCCAAGTTTTTTTATGTATTATATTATTTATGTTTGTGTAATTTAAGCGTTTTCCTCCTCATTTTAATATAACTTAAAACAAACAAACATTTCTCCAAAGAAAATATATATAATTGGTTACATTAAAATACCATTTATATTGAAATGAAATCAATAAAAATCTAATTTAAACTTTAATATTTTTTCCGCTGTAATGGCAGTAAAACGCAATCAAATGTAAGTAACAAGTACTATATGGATAAATACGCCAATATAAGTGATACCTAACCGTTAATTTTCTTTTCAAATTGTAAAAAGGCAGTGTTGAGGAAATCTTATTTTTTGGTATAAAATGCCTAAAGATTTCTGTCCCCATATTCAGACTGGTGTAAAATATCAGAATGTTGGCAATTCGGAAGAGTTATTGGTGAAGGGAATACACAGCTGTTACTTTTTTGCAGTGTTCTATTTTTTTCTTCTTAAGGCGCGTAACCAACCTTTGTAACAGGGAACATCAATCCTTTTTCTCAGACGATTGTTGCCTTCCACATGCCAGTTTGCCATTAGCCCACTTGAAATACGAATTTGAATCCAATACGAAATAACAATATGCATATACTTAAAGAAGATAATAGTGGGATACTTTGATGAACGAGATTTCATGACCATCAGTATTTATGATCTGTAGTATCCTAAGAAAGGTAACTTACATGGAAAGACCACATTTAAATGATTAGACCAATTCTAATATAGCGTCTGTAGCTCTTTGAATAATAATAGCTCCAGTGAGTAATGTTAATAATATATTAAAGTATCGAATATCGGCAGGTACCATTATATGGAGGATATATGAAAACGTGAACCTTCATAGGACATTTTTTGTCATAGGCTTTAATTGGAAATTCGAAACAATTCAGGTGAATAATTTTGTTTATATCATAAAAATACCGAATATCGGGAGGTACCCTTATAGGGTGAGAAAAGGTGAAAAAATTGCAACCAACTTCAGTCATTTTAAGCCACTCGTCCGATAGCTGTTAAAATTATTCCAGTGACAGCTCAGTATATTGTTTATAAACGTACAAAAACATTTTAGTGAGAATTTTCCAGAAAAAAGTTATTCGTGATGGAATTCAAGCGTGATAGTGTGAGTTCTTTATATTTGGCTTGAAAACCACAAGTGGCTATCGTTAGAGCACTCCAGTATTTAAATGTGAATAAACCTTTTGTGTCTCGTACCATCGCTCGTTACCGTGATACTGGTAGCGTAGCAGAAATGGTTCGAAAAGTAAATAAGCAACTTAATCTAAAAGCGCGTCGCAGGGCCGAATCAGAATAAATGCCGTAGCATCAGAATAAATGCCGAATATTATCTTCATAATATTCTGGAGGGTGTATTAAAGACTTGGCCACGCAAACATTTTGGCTGCAGACCTTGGGCATTCCAACAGGACTCGGCATCCACCCAAGAATGGTTACAAAATGAAGTTCCTCGCTTCATTTCCAGCGCATAATTGCAACCAAAATATCCGGATACTAATCCGTGGGACTATTGTGTCTGGAGTATTTTGGAAACAAGGTTGGCACTAAAAATATCAAATTGTCGATCACCTCAAGCAAGCTCTTCGCCGGGAATGGGCCAAAATACCACAGAGCAACATTCGGGCAGCTTGTGACGGTTTCATTGACCGTTTGAAGGCCATAATTCGTTCCAAGGGTGATCAATTCGAACAAATCTAAATTTTTTCCTAAAATTTGATACTATTTCCGACATTTTTGCTTTCATGCCCAGTATATCTACTCCGAGCTCTAAATGTCAAGTTACACATGATTTGGTTTAAAATTGTGGGCAAAACATTCAAAACAGCGATAATCAGGAAGTAACGGTATATGGGGGCCTTGCCGAAACGTGGAACCGTTTTAATACCAAACATACTAGGGGTAATATAAATATTTGAGCAAAATTTCAAAGCGATAGAAAGCTTCCCTGAATTAATTTCGGTTTTACCTCACACCACTGTGCGACGTAGCGGGCACTTACTAGATTCATTTAAAACGAATAGAGTATCTGTATTTTAAAATTTTGATCCGTGGTAATATTTATACCGCCCAGGAGCGAAGATAGATTGCTTCTCGTGCCCATAAAATGGAAGTCAGTATGAGTTTGTTCAATTTCCGAATATGCCAATTTGCATTAGATAAATAGGTGATATATCGGTCAACTCCTTTTGATAAACCTCCCTACGCCCACACTCTATAAAGCCTCGAGCATTTTGAAATAGAATTACAAGTCTCATACAATGCGCAGATATTCCGAGGTTTTCACATTGAACTATGGTTACTAACATTAGATCTCTTGGAATGGAGTTGGAATGTGAGGGGCACATTTTTATTGTAGATGCCCCAAAAAGGGCCAAATACTGAAGGTTGGAACACCGACAGAAACTTTCTAATTTGTTTCGATGTGTTTTAACGCAAAAAAGGGGGTATCGAAATATAAAGCAGTTTTTAAAAAAGGAATGACTTATCATTAGTATGAAGTTGATATTAAATTTATGAAAAATTAAAAAAAAACAAAACAAATAAAAAGAAATATACCGGCTTCAAAATAAATACAATAATTTTTTATTGAAGAAAAAAAAAAAATACATCAAAATAAAAACCAAATTGAAATTGTAAAATATTGTCGTTTCATTTGGAACACATACTGTGTGCTGTTGTTTGTTGTTTATACTACTATATAATACAATATTTTGTGGGTTTTTATCTCTAAGATTACGCATAAGTACACAATTTTCAAGTAGGGCCTAATAATAAATTCTTTTGTTTTAATTTTTTTTGTTTTTATGCCTAAGTGTAAATAAAATGCATCCTTCAAGGATAAATAAATAGAATTACAATTGTTTTTCTTCCCATATTTACATACATATACACATTGTTATACATATACATACATACATATATAAATTATATTATTGCACAGTATTAAAATAATATGCATATATATATAGATTTACTTTTTGCCCCTACATCTTTGTCATCATCAGCATCATCATTAGTTACATATACATCGATTTCAATTTTGTTGTTAAGTATTTGTATAAATATATTTAGTTTTTAATTGATATAGTCGTTATAGTTTTTTGTTTTCTTTTCTTTTAAGTAATTTAATTTCATACAATTTGTTTTTGTGTTAATATTAGTTACTAGCTTTACAATCATTATAATAATGATATTTTATTGTCTTAAAAAATGTTATGATCAGAATTCAAATAGAAAACTAAATCGAAGCTTCCAACAGAAGCGTGTAATTTTTTTTTTCTATGAATGCCATCGTTGTAAAGATGTTCGTTTCTAAAGAAATATTGTGGGTTTATTTGTGTTTTCTTCTCTTTTTTTACAAATATGAAACGGGATTTGGGATTTATTATTTCTCTCTTTCTCTTAAATATTTAAATATCTATGTATGTATATAAATAGATCAACTACTTTGTTCCTACTACAGTTTATGTTGTACATGAAGTTTCCAGTTTTGATATACCATTGTGGGTTGTGATTTTTTTGTTTTCTTTTGAATTTTCTTTTAAGATACCTTGTTGCTACAGTTTTGTGAATTGAAATTTTTGGGGATTAATAAAAAAATGGCTTTGTACGTTTTGAATGTTTCTTTTAAAAGTGAGGTTATGGACGACATGGGTTTATTTACCACGTAATCTTAAAGAAAAGCTTCCCGAGAAAATAACCTCTCGTTGCTTTTGTTCTATCCAAACAGGCTTTCTCGTCTTCAAGGATATTGTCTCTGCTGTATGCAGAAATAAGTTAATAATCCTTTGAAAATTAGAAAAGTGTGGTTTAAAGCAAATCAAAATCTAACAGAATTTTGAAACCTTGACTCGCCGACATAGCCAGAGTGCGGTGTGTGGGTTCTAAACGCCCTCAGAAAAATGTACATGTACAGCCCATTAAGGTAGCCGAATTTTTAAATCTGGAGCTTGAGCCAAATTAGCAGAATCCAAACACCTACATTTACTACTGCTACAACAACAACGAGCGCCCTCAGAAATATAATTTTTTTTATATATTTACTGAACATTTTGTTTATAATTTATTGTCTGTTGTGAATGATTAGAATTTTTCTAACGATGGTCTGGAGACCCAATGCACTTCTCATATTCACAGTCCATGTTGTTGTTAAAGCTCCACATGTTTTGTTTGATTTCTGCCAATCAAGTTCTAATTCCAGGTTTAATAAGTAAAAAAGTATCAGTCCGTTCTGCCAACAGATGTATACCCTCAGCCAATATTCGATTATTTAAATATATTTTGACTTTGACTTCTGTTGTGATAATTCAAATTGTTGACCCTCTATGGATTAGGGTTTGAAGGAATGGGTCAATATTGTCCATTTCGTATCGGGCCTAAATATATATGATATAAATTCGCTTTATATGAGTTATGTGACAATGTTTTGAAAAATCGCTGACTCTTTTCGCATCTTATAACAGATAATAGAATTGCACAAGGGTGGCTCAGAAGGAGTTCGCAGATATATATCATCTTCACAACAGATCTTGCGTTAGCAAAGATGTTTGTATATTTGAAATTTGAAGAGAGTTATATGCTTATTTCGCTTTCTTTGAGCGTCTTATTTTTCAAAATCGTGAACCCTATGTGGGGGAGGTATCAGAAGGAATGGTCCGATCTCTATCATCTTTATAACAATCTTGTGTTGATGGAAATATTGAGATGTGCCAAGTCTGAATGGAATCGGATGCAAATTTCGCGTTTTATGAGCTTCGTGGATTTTAAAAACTTGGACCCTTTGTGGATGGGATGTGCAATTTGAAGACAATCGAACTCTTACATCACATTTTATAGGAGTTTTAATTATTCAAAATTTTGAAACTTTGTCCATTTTACACCTGACCTAGTACTGATGCAAATATTAGAACTTGCAAAGCTAGAGCAATATTGGATTACCCTTTTATTTCTGTGCATAAAAATATTTTCCTGGAAATTAATAGGGTCTAAAACCGTTATTTGGACTAGGCACGTAGAAATTATTAATGGTATATGTGACTGCATCAGTATGAATGCCACTCAGACCTGCCTGATAGGCTTCTTGATCTAGACGCTTTCTCATATAGCGTTGGACTTCCTCTCTAGATCGTGTATGCCCTTCTTGATACGCCTAGATGGGGTAGATTTATCCATCATATGATGGTTTGGATAATTCCCGCCTGAAATGGCTTTGAATTTGTACAATTTTGATCACTTGTTGCATGTCACCGAAAATTGAGTCTATTATTGGTTTAGGATATTTTTTGGCAGTTGTAACTATTCACTAATCAACATGTTAACCACTTATTTTTCGTTTGTCATTTGGATCCTGAGAGGAAATTTATGTTCCCATTTGCCTTGTTATTTTCATTCCTAATCACTTCGTTCATAACCTCACATTTATAGAAAATGTAATCATATTAAGCCTTTAGGCAGTCGAATACTATAACTTTTCACAATTCATTTGTAGCGAACGCCTTAAAACCTGTCTCAATCAAATGTTGGTGGTACCGTGAATCGATTATGGGTATAGGGATAAACTGAATGTTAGCCTAAGAATTTTGGTTTTGTTGCATTTTCAAAAAATAGTGTCTTTTGTATTTTAGCATTTGCCGGATGATTTGTTATGGGCTCTAGTATCTTTAATATATAATCCTTAAATACTTTGGGCACCTGAACGAAATGTCAAGGATCTTTTTTGGCCTTTAGGTTTTCCTCATGGGCCTGCAAGAAAAAGAAGTTAATTACATTTTATATTCGATTTTAAATTTCCATTCTATTCCCATTTACCTTTTGGGCAACTTTCAGCAGACTATCAAATGTGGAACTGCCAGTCTGTTTCACCATGCCATAGAATATATTGGTTTTACTTTGTGTTAGCAGTTCAAAGGGTGAACCAAACTCTACAGCCCTGCCTGCGTCCATTACCAGAACTTTATCCGAATCCATAACTGTGTGTAAACGGTGAGCTATTGTCAGAACGGTGCAGTGTTTAAATTTATTACGTATGGTGGTTTGTATTAAGGCATCAGTTTGGGGATCTACATTGGCAGTGGCTTCGTCCATTACCAAAATGCGATTTTCTCTGAGAATGGCACGGGCCAGACAGACCAGCTGTCGTTGGCCAACAGAGAAATTGGTACCACCTTCGGATATTTTACTTTGCAGTCCACTGGGTAATTCGCTGACAACGTCCTTTAGTTTGACCTGAAACGAAAATGATACATTTCAAAAGATAACATCTGAGGAAAATAAATGAAAATAAATTGATCCCACCTCTTCCAAAGCCTTCCATAATTTGGCATCGGCATACTCATCGAATGGATCTAAATTGTAACGCATAGTGCCCGAAAACAATACCGGCTCTTGGGGAATAATTGATATTTTACTACGCAAATCATGGAGTCCCATTTCCTTGGTATCCCGTTTATCGATGATCACCGAACCATCATTGTACGACAGGCGGAATAAGGCATTTATAAGCGATGATTTACCCGCTCCGGTGCGACCTACAATGCCAATCTTTTCTCTCGCCTGTATGGAAATATTCAGATTTTTCAATACCGTTTCTGCCTTGGGATCGGGGAAGTAACGCAAACTTAAATTGTCGAATACAATTTGACCATCTTCTGGCCATGATTTGGGTGGTTTCTTATTCGGTGGTGATTCCATTTCACCTTCGGCCTCCAAGTCTTCGTATTCAATGACACGTTCTACAGCTGTCATATTGTTTTCCAGTTCAGCCGATTGTCGCATACCCCATTGGACCATGCCGGTCATACCCATGGCCTGGGTAATGGCAAGGCCCACATCACCGCCATTTTTGGGTGAGAAAAGGAAAAAGCTCAAGGTGATGATAGCAATGTACAGGACACAGCAGCAATCTAGCCAATAGCCAAAGGCACGGCTAGTCGACAAGAACATGTAATAGCCGGAACTATGGAGATCCTGGTAGTTATCAAATTCCTCAATTAAAATTTGCTGGGCTCCAAATGCTCGTATTGTGGAGAGGCCATTCAGCGAGGCGCCCATATGTGAATATATGGGGGAGCGGGCTGCAAGTAAATGAAGTTCAATTTCGGTTCAAGAATTCATTTCAAAATATCTCCACTTACTTATGGCCTCCAAACGTTTGACATCTCTCGACGTATTCAAATAGAATGATCGCATAAAATAGAAAACAATACCCAGTAGGGCAGTGGCCAAGAGATACCAGGGATTTACGATGCACAAAACGACAACAATACCTAAAATGGCCAGGAAGATTTGTATGACATCCATCATGACACCGGGCAACACTTCATCCACCTGACCCAAATCTTTGGCAAAACGATTTAGGATACGGCCGGCAGGATTTGTGTTAAAGAAATACATGGAGGCCCGAGTAACGCCGTTAAACATGGTATTGTGCAGATTCGTGGAGGAGCGTTTGGCCAGCGTAAAGAAAAGTAGGGAGCGCATCAAAGCAAAAACAATAACCGAAACATTAATGCCAGTGAAGATGTACAGGTCCACTGGGTCTGAGTTGGTGTCCAAGCGTCTTTCGGGTCGTCGATAGTAATCGGTAACCGTACTTTGCGCCTGTCCATTTTTGTTGACCCTGAAACAGAGAAATTAAATTTCAATTGCCATGGGTACTAAGAATATCACACCTCCACCAACTTACCAATAGGACAAGAAGTAGTCACCTCCGGAGGCCAACACCTGAGCTCCAATACAAAAGAATGCCATAATTGTGAACAGGAAATAACCTCCACTGGCTCCAAAATATTTCTTATAAAGTTTTAGACCAATTTTACCCTCTTCACGAGTCTCCTGCACCTGTTTGGGGGCATCGCCCTGGGCAGACTCCGCCACCGAACCCATAGACGACACACTATTTTGACGTGAGCGCATTTTACTGTTTTGTCTTGACAAAGCCTGTCTTTCCGATCCCTCCCCAACCGATCCCTTCACACTACCCGTATCCTCGGTCTTATCGGCCTGCATCAATAATTTGGAAAATTCCAAACCACTCTTGCGCATCGATTCAAATGTCCCGATAGCACTGATCCTACCCTTATCCATAATTACAATAAGATCGGCCTGTTCCATAAATTGCAGCTGGTGAGTGACCAAAAGGACAATGTCGTCACGCAGATAACCTCGCATACATTGATCGAACAAATGGCGCCCAACATGGGTGTCAACGGCACTCAACGGATCATCCAGCAGATAGACATCGGCCTTGCGATACACAGCCCTGGCTAAGTTGATACGGGCCTTTTGGCCACCAGACAGAGAAGCACCGCGCTCGCCAACAATTGTCTTGTCGCCAAAGGGCAGCAGCTCAAAATCTCGTTCGAGGGCACATTTCTTGACAACTGTGCGATAGCGCTGCCTATCCATTGGTAGGCCGAACAAAATGTTCTGACGCACAGTACCAGTAAATAGCCAGGGCTCCTGTGAGGCATATGACAGTGTGCCGCTAACGTTTACGGACCCAGTTTCAGCAGGCAGTTCACCCAGGATGGCTTGAATCAAGCTATAGGAGAAAATAAAATATGGTAACACCATTTGAGAAAGCAACGTTGATAGCTTACCTGGACTTGCCGGAACCCACCGGCCCAATTACAGCCACCAAGGTACGTGGCTTTATCTTTAGATCAATATTTTCCAACGTGTACTCCGTTGACTGTGGATCCCATTTGGCCTTGAGTTTGTTAATGCTGACGCTGGCCTCCACGTGATGCGGATGATGGTTACCCACAATCGTCATGGGCTTCATAATGCCATTCATGCCAATTGCCTTGCCATTCTCCTCGATAATAGCTGTCGGTTGCAATTTATTATTTTCGCAATCCACATCCTGTGACCTGTCCCGCACCTTCGTCTCCTCATGCATCATGTACTTTTGGATACGTTTAAAGGACACCATTGTCTCGGCAAACTGGGATATTCCCATGGGGAAGTAGATGGTCATGGTGTTGCGCAGAATATTGTAGAAGGCTGTAATGATGAAAGCTTTCTCGGCCGTCAGCAGTTTTCCCAGGAGTACAAATCCCACCAGACTGGCGAAAACGGATATGCGTGTCAGAAACATAATGAACGACTGCAAAATGCCACGAATGTAGTTGACATAGCGAATGGCGTTCATCTCCTTGAGACGGGCGTATTGGACCATTTTACCAAATGGTATTTCCCAGGCATACATTTTGATCACCTGAATGCCGGATATGATTTCGTTCATCATGCGCACCCGTTCATCGGTGCGCAGGGCAGTGCGTAGACGTAAAACTGAAGTCTTTTTGCCCAGATAGGCTTGCAACGGCAGGAATAGTATCATAATGGCGACACCGAATAGCGAGGAGACTCCAATCTGAAAGAAGGAAAACGAATTTAAAAAATACATAGGGTAAGTGTGCCTAAGTTCGGCATGTCCCAGTAGTCGGCACTTTTTATTTTTAAGCCCAAATAAATGAAACTTTTATAACTTAATATATTTTGTTTACTTCAAATATATTGTCAGCTATCTTTATGTACAATTTCGCTAAGAAAAGATGATTTATTCTAATAAAAATTAAATTTTTGTCTGTGAAGGTCCTCAACAATCCATATTCTTAAGAAAAGTACAATAAAGACGTCGAATCAGTTTAACTAAACAAAAATATTATATTTTAATGAATTAATTTATTATTATTATTAATTATTCTTTCAAAAAAATTGGTATGCCGACTGTTGGAAAATGCCATACCGACAATTGGCAAGTGGTGCCGACTACTGGCAAAAAAGCATTGTATTAATAAAACTACAATTTTATGAAATTTAATAAAAAGTTATTAAAACTTTATTTATTATTGCAAAAACTATACAAAATTTCGAATCTGAATAAATTAATTTTGTAATAATTGAAATGTTCCACTCAGAATGGTGAGCGATTAAAAACACAAAAATCCTAAAAGTGCCGACTATTGGTACACTTACCCTATATAATATAAATCGTCTCTATCTCATTTCCTGAAGTTAACCTCTTTCTTGCTGCGAATTGCCAGAGTCATCCCTATAATTAAGTACCCAGTAACAAATGTCATTACCAAGTAATGCCTTTACACAGGATGTTTTACCGATCTATCTATCTTTGCAATCGTATCTCGACTTAAAAATTAAACATTAAATGATAATACAGAGCCTAAAATGAAATTCGTGGTCTATTTATGATTTTAAATCATAAATATGACCTTGATTTTTTATACAAGCCGAAAAGTATGCAAAGAATATCGATCATATTTTCATCATATTCTCTTTAAATGCAATCGAAATCGATTTGGGTCCTCGTTCATACCCGTATGACTTTTGGTCAAAAAAAACTACTTTGGAGAATGTCAGATAAAGTAAAAGTTAAGCTAATAAGTAAGTGCAAATAAAGGGTAAGGGAGAGGAAATTTAAATCTCCACACCGTCTGTGACCGGTAGAAAATAAGATTCAAAATCAGAGAGCAACGCAAAAAACGTTTAGGTTAAAATCTGTAACAAGGATGAGGTCTGCTAAATACTGCATGAAGGCGTTGGTTTATGTAGAACTGTAAGGCTTAAGAAGTTCCCCTCCTCTTCCTTGGAAGCGGCTGTATTCATCCGAATACTGAAACACAGAGAACCACTCAAAGAAAAAAGAGGTTCGATCAAATCGGGTTAAGTACCCATGCAAAGCTTGTCATAGGAATCTTTTGGTTAAATTCGAAAAAATTAGCTCGATTCGATTGGAACTCCGCAAAGAAGAAGAATGTTCGGCCGGGTCGAACTTTTAATGCCCTCCACCATTGGGAAAAGAAAACTATTTTTATAAAAGTATCTGAATTCAAACGTGTTCCATTTTAAACAACAAATATCAGCAAGACCGTTTGGATAATGCTTGTAAACTTAAACAAGTAAAAAAACAGCTAAGTTCGGGCCGAACTTTTAGTACCCTCCACAATTTGGAAGGAACTTGAAAATTTTCAAAAAAAAAAAAAACTTCCGGAAACTACCACTTAAATGAAAACTGTTATATGGAGACTATACGAAGACGTGGACCTGCTTACGAAATTTTTTGTCATACGCTGTAGTACCTATTACGAACTCCAAATACCAAATTTGAAACAATTCCGGTGAATAATGTCGCACAAATCATAAAAATACCGAGTATCGGAAGGTAACGTCATATGGGGGCTATACGAAGACGTGGACCTGAATACAAAAATTTTTGTAATGGGCTGTGGCAGCCATTACGAACTTCAAATACAAAATTTGAAATAATTTCGGTAAGTAATGTCGCTAAAATCATGAAAATATCGAATATCGGGAGTTACCGTCATATGGGGGCTATACGAAGATGTGGACCTGAATGCAAACATTTTTGTCATAGGCTGTAGCAGCCATTACGAACTTCAAATACTTCAAATACCCTCCATACTATGGAGTCATCCTAGACACAATGCAAATTGTTCTGACAAATTCTGAAGCCTTACGTAAAATAATGTGGGCTGTATCGTGATTTCAACAGACAGACGGACATCGTTAAATCGACTTAGAATTTTATACTGATCATGAATATATATATATATATATATATATATATATATATATATACTTTATGTGGTCTACGACGAATATTTAGGGATGTTACAAACGGAATGACAATATTAACCCCTTTTCAAGATGGAGGGTATAAAAGTGGCCACGGAGAGAGAAACTGAATTGTTCTCCATAGTGGCGACAGCAAAATATTGAAGCATATATGTGGAGATCACGAAGTTTGAGATTTCCTCTTCAATCTCAAGTGGTTAAAAGTTCTGTCAGGAATCTGGTTCATAGACGAAACCGCACAAAGATTTATTAGTAGAGTGGCCTTCAAAAGCAGGAAGAAGCTTTTCAAGCAACCACTTTTGTTCTTGCAGTTACAGAAGTCACCAACTTCACAGCGATTCTGTTTACAAGGTCCTTTAGAACTTGAAGTCTGCAGATAGTATGGATGCAGCTTTTATTCATTTTGGTGAGCGTCTGCAAAGATAATAATCACTTTTGCTCAAATACTTACAACTTTGAAGTGTTTCGAATGAAACACAGTGATGTATTCCGTTAGCATACTGTTTTCGCACCGTATTTAGAATAATCCGGTCATAAAAAGATCTATTTTTGCATGATGCTTCGGGTTGAATATATCCGTATTAAGCTAATAAATCCTTAAATCCTTAAAATTTTGGATATTTACAGAACAAGTTCAGGAATCCTTTAAGAAATTATTGAGTAAAATTTAGTGGCCTAAAGGGGGATTTGACGAGGTTGCAAGATTTCGCAAGCTAATAACTTTCATTTCAATCATTGCTCTCTCTCTATCTCTCTCTCTCTCTGTTATATAAAAATCATAAACTTAAAAGTAATCCTTTCTTCTGTAATTCCCAATAACTTACCTCGCGATACATTAAAAACGTAATAATGATAATTTCAATCGGCCCCAACCACAAATAGTGCATGTGTATCATCGATGTGTCCAAACGGCCGACGTCATTCGATATCAGATTCACCACCTGCCCTGACGTTGTATTGCCCAGTGCGGTCTTACTCAGACGTAGCGCCTTACGATATATCATGCTACACATGGCCACGCGTATCTTCATGCCCACGTGAAGTATGCCTAACATGTAAGGATGCATGAACAGGACATTGACGGCACTGCATAGAATCACGCCCAGAGCGTACAGGTACGCTGTGGACAGATCGCTACTACCATTATTCTCAGGCTTGGCGTAGTACGAGACAAGGCCACCCAAAAATAATGGCTGAGTAACACTGGAAATTGAGAAAAGAGACGAGTGGGCGGTGAGCATACAAACAAAGAATTCTCATTTTCTTCAAATTTCATGGGTCAAAGCCCATTCGAAATGAGATCAACTGGCATTGGATTCGAATAAGTTATTCTATAAGGTGCAAGTATGCCATTTAATCTCATTTCGAATGGTATAGTGTGGAGGAGAAAATTTACCGTAAACCTATTTCTAGAATAAATAAAACAAAACCTAAGGTGGCGAATCGTAGACCGAATACTTTCAGTACCGCCCTCAGAAGACTCGGTTCTTTGTGTTTCATTTGTTTTTTGTTGCATTCCTCCTCCCATGCTTCGGAGAGTTTGTGACCCAATGTATCTGAAAATAAAAGGAACAAAATACAGAAATTACAAGACATCAAATACCCTTGTAAATAAAATATGTAAAAATAAAGATTAACCAATAAGTAGAGGTCAAAAGTCAGGCGGGGCCGACTATGTGTTACTCTACACCGCTATGCATATGGAGTAGAGCTCCCGTAACAAAAAATTGTATATTGGGAATTTATGTGAAGTAGATTATACCAACTATGAACCGAATAACATTGCTGTACAGTGTATAATGCATGATATGACTTCGATAAGGATTATACCGCACCAAGTGTCACCAAATGGTAAAATTTGGTTGAATGTAAAACAAGTAAAAAAGCTGTAAGTTTGGAACGAATTTGGCAATTCTCAAAAACAATAAAATCCGTTAAAAATTATGTTAAAATCTTAAAAATAACGAATGTAGATGTTATATTAGCGTCTATACGACGATATGGACCTGCATAGGTAACTTTTGTCATAAGTCATTACAATATTCAAATGCGAAACTTAAAAAAAAACAGTTTAATAATGTGGCTAAAAATCATCAAAATACCGAATATCGGGAGGTACCGTTATATGGGGGCTATACGAAGACGTGGACCTGCACAGACAATTTCCTGTCTTAGGCTGTAGTATCCCTTTGGAACTTTAAATACCAAATTTTAAACAATTCCGGTGAATAATGTCGATAAAATCATCAAAATGCCGAATATCGGGAGGTACCGTCATATGGGGCTATAGCAAAACATGGAAATTTTCAATACCAATATACTTGCAGACATAATATAAATTTGAGTAAAATTTTATCAATCTAATTCATATTCTTCGTAAGCTAGAGTGATTTCCACAGAAGTACAGACGGACAGACATCGCTAAATCGACAAAGACTATTATGCTGATCAAGAATATACATCTTTGTGTGGTCTAAAATGTATATTTCGAGGTGTTATAAACGGAATGACAAACTCAATATACCCTCCATACTATTCAATTTGATGATATGATATTACGTATGCGGCGAGCAATAACCGAGCAATAATCTGAACCGATCTCGATAAAATTTGGCAAAGCTATTTTCGAGCCGTATCTGATGCTCTGTATCAAATATCATTGTTTTGGAGTGCATATTACACATGTGAGTGACTTTAATGGGGAGCTATAGCTATATCTGAATCGTTTTTCAAAATTTGAAGCACGTTCTTTTAGGCTGAGTTCCGTGCTTTTAGGCTGAATTCCGTCGGAAGTGCTGAAATGAAGTCCATTTGGGCTGATTTTTGCCATTTGGTGCACATAAAACCTGAAATCGGATTAAGATATATATGGGAGCTATACCCAAATCAGAACCGATCTTGACAAAAATTTAAACACTTATTCCTGAGCTGTATCAGTAATATTTGGAAGCAACGACTATTGTTGTGGAGGGCATATTACGCATGTAAGTAACTTTAACGCCAAATCGGATGAAACATATTCATGGAAACTATAGCTATATCTGAACCAATTTTCACAAAAAATAAGCACTTGCTTTTAGGCTGAATTCTGTCGGAAGTGCCAAAATTCTGTCCATTTAGCAACCCAAAATCCAATCTCGATAAAATGTAATAGAGGTATTTCTGGGCTGTATTTGATATCTGGTACCAAATATCATTCCTGTGGAGTGCGTAGTACGTATGTGAGGGACATGAAACCCCAAATCGGATGAAACATATATGTGAGAGCTATAGCTATATCTGAACCGATTTTCATCAAATTTGATGTACCTGCTTCTAAACTGAATTCGGTCGGATGTGCCAAAATACGGGTCATTTGGACTGATATTGGCTATTTGGTGCCCAATTAACCCGAAATCGGTTGAAGATGTACTTATTCAAATTTTGGAATAAGTTTAGATTTGTTCGAATTGGTCACTTTTGGACCGTACGAGCACGCTGCCTGAAAGTTGCTCTGCGGTATTTTGGCCCGTTCCCGGCGAAGCGCTAGCTTGAGGTGATCGACACTTTGGTATTTTTTAGTGCCAACCTGCTTTTCAGACACAATAGTCCAACGGATTGGTATCCGGAGATTTTGGTGGCCATTGTGCGCTGGAAATGAAACGTGCTGAGTGTGATGGTGCTGAGTCCTGTCGGTATGTTCAAGGTCTGCGGCCAAAATGTTTGCGTGTTTAAGGCTTTATACACCCTCCACAGTCGATTTATACGAGCAGACAGCGATTATGACGGCCCACACCATCACCATGGCTGGCGCTTGAGTTGTGGTGACCTACCGAAGGTGCACATTTCCAGCTGACATCTTTGGAAAGTAAACGCGATCATTTTGTACTGTTTAGCACATACCCCAATCCTTCACTCTAACAGTAAAGCTAATTCCAATTTTCAGGGTACCAGCTTCATTTGTGCACCCAAATCCAAATTGTACCAAATTTTCATAACTAACTATATCATACAGTCCAATAGAAATCTTATTTTTAAATTTCAGGGTTCCAACTCTACCGGGATTCAAAAACTACCAGAATTGTTAAATTCAAATTTCATTTGTTCCTCCAAATTCAAAATGTACCAAATTTAATACCGTTTACTACTTTTCGTACACATGGGTACACACTTCCAAAACGACCTCTTTACATCGACTCTATTACTCAACCTTGATTCCCATTTCAAATTTTCAGTTTTAAGCTCTAACCGTTCACATCATACGAACTAGTAACAAATTTAGTACATTTTAGTACTTTTCGTACACTTACAGCGAGAATTTCCAAAAAACCCTTTGGCAGGTCTATCATACACTCCCCCATTTCAAATTTAAGAGGTCTAGCTCTACTGCTTCCTCAAATAAAATACATACATTCGTACCGTTCTAGTACGAATTTCGAAAAGCCCAGCCTTATCTGACCCCTTTGGACCAAGTGTGACTCTCATCCAAAATTTTAAAATTCTTGTTTCAGCCATTTCGTTTGGGCGTTGATGAATCGTTAAGTCAGTCAGCCAGACAATTACAATTACTATGCTCTTTTATTAATATAGACATGCAACTAAACCCCATACAGGGTGAGATGAAAAAACTGCACTAAAAGTGGTGAACTGTCGTATTTGGTTGTCTCCAATGAGAAAACATTTTCTCCTCTCATTCAATAAATTTAAAACAAATAAAAAAAATTAAGGTATTTGACTTTTTGCAGTTTTTTTTTATCTCACCCTGTATATGTATATAAGAATACTAAAGTATAAACATTCACTAGGAAAGATGAGAACACATATTTGGCAAAAGTTGAGTCAACACTCAGAGACATTTTCCACGAAAAAATATCACTGCCAAAATAAAATAAATAAACAAAAATAAAAATAATAAGCAACAGAGAAAATGACGTAGATATGTAGCGTCCAGAACTCAGTTCGCTGTTGCTTAAGTCCGAATTGGGTGTGTAGCTAAATCGTGTATTGTAAGTAAATAAAGGCATGACAAATATTTTCTTTAAATATTCATTTGAGAGGCAAAGTCGAACGCAACATTCATTAACAATGTAACTTCTCGTATCAATTGAACTGGTATTCACGCGAGCTAAATGCATGTACGATTAGGGTAACGTTTACGTTTGACATTGCCTCTAATTCCATAAACCAGTAATTATCAGTAGCAGTACGTTCCTACAACTGCTTAACCAAGGATCGGCAATTATTGTTAGAGAGTCAGAAATGAAAAAAAAGAGAAAAATATGATGCATGTGTAAAATAATTAGAACAAAATTTTCTTAATTTATTGTAATAATGTAACCAGCTAAGTGTCTCAATAATTACGAAAAATCTTTAAGCGAATGTATAGAAAACCAGTAAGAAGAGATCAAAAGTAGGGCGGGGCTGACTGTATTATACCCTACACCACTATGCGTATTTAGTATAGCTCACGAAACAAAAATGTTTATATTGGGAAGTAGGTCATACCGACTATGAACCAAATAACATTGCTGCATAGTGTACGATATGACTTCGATAAGGATTATAATAAAAAATATTTATTGGAGATATACCGTTCGGAGTTTTACCAAGTGGTAAAATTCGGTTGAATATGCAAAAATCTATTTAATTTGGGCTGATATTACAAAAATAGTGAGCAATAGGCGTAAAATCGGATGAAGATGTATATCTCGAAGCTATATAAAAATCTGAATCGATCTCGATAAAATTTGACAGAGGTATTTTGGAGCAGTATCTTATGCCCGGTATCAAATATCATCGGGTGAAACATGTATATGGGAGCTATAGCTAAATCTGAACCGATTTTCACAAAAAATTGAAGCACTTGCTTTTAGGCTGAATTCCGTCGGAAATGCCAAAATTATGTCCATGTCGGCTGATATTAGTAAATTGGGTACAAAAAATCTGAAACCGGATAAAGATATATATGTCAGCTGGGTATAAATCTGAAACGATCTTAAAAAAAAAATAAATATTTATTTCTGAGCTGTACATGATATCTGGTACCAATGGTTTTGTTATACAGTGCATATTTTGAGGGACTTGAATACCAAATCGGGTGAAACATATATATAGGAGCTATAGCTATATCTGAACCGATTTTCTTTGAATTTGATGTACCTGCTTCTAGACTGAATTCTGTCGGAACTGCAAAAAATTGAGGTAATTTGGACTGATATTGGCTATTTGGTGCACAATTAACCCGAAATGGGTTGATGATATATACAGGGTGAGATAAAAAACTGCAACAAAGTCAAACGCCATAATTTTTACATTCTTTTTAATTTTGTCGAAAGAATTAGAATAAATTTAGATTGGTTCGAATTGGTCAGCTTTGGCACAAATTATGGCCTTCAAACGGCAATGAAACGGTCACACGCTGTCCGACTGTTGCTCTGCAGTATTTTGCCCATTTGTTGGTATTTTTTAATGCCAACCTTACTTTCTAAAATACTCCAGACACAATAGTCCAACGGATTGGTATCCGGAGATTTTGGTGGCCATTGTGCGCTGGAAATGAAGCGAGGAACCTCATTTTGTAGCCATTCTTGGGTGGTGCGTGCTGGGTGCGATGTTGCTGAGTCCTGTTGGAATGTCCAAGGTCTGCGGCCAAAATGTTTGCGTGCTCAATTTAATACCTTTAATGCCCGCTCCAGGATATTTTCGTGATAATATTCGGCATTTATCCTGATGCCACGGTCGATCAATACGAACGAAGCGACCATCGGATGTTATGGCGGCCTACACCATCACCATGGCCGGCGCTTGAGTTCTGGTGGCTAACCGAAGGTGCACATTTTCAGCTGACCTCTTTGGCAGGTAAACACGATCATTTTGTTTGTCTACAAACTGCTGAACAACGAATGTTTTCTCATCGGAGAAAACCAAATTCGGCAGATCACCACTTTCGGCCAAGTGAAGCAACTCCTTAGCTCTTTTGAGTCTATTTTCTTCCTGTTGCGGTTTAAGTTCTTGCACTTTTTGAAATTTCAAAGGCTTTATCCCGAGCACATTTTTCAATATTTGCCGAATGAAGTATTGCGATATGTTCAGCTTACGAGCCATTTTCCGACCACTGCGACGAGAGTTTCGATAAAGTCGCTTCTTTACTTTTCGAACCATGCTGCTGATATTGATTGCAGTTTTCTTCCGTCCACTTCCTTGACGTCGGAATACGCTACCAGTATCACGGTAACGAGCGATGATACGAGAAACAAAAGATTTACTCACATTTAAATGCTGGAGTGCTCTAACGATAGCCACTTGTGGTTTTCCAGCCAAATATAAAGAAATCACACTATCACGCTTGACTTCCATCACGAATAACATTTTTTGTGGAAAATTCTCACCAAAATGCTTTTGTACGCTTGTAAACAATATAATGAGCTGTCACTGGAATAATTTTAACAGCTGTCGGAAGAGTCCCTTATAAATGACAGCAGTCTGCAGTTGGTTGCAGTTTTTTCATCTGACCCGTATTTTTCCAAAAATTAGCACTTCGCTGCAATTTTTCTTATATATATATATATACAATATACAACGATATACGCGTTTTTGCTTTAATTTTCTATTTTTTTTATAATAATACGCACCAATAATTATTATCTTATTATCAATTTTTCAGAACTTCACCTCAAAAGATCTAAAATTAAAATGGAAAATTGATTTTTAACCTATTGGTCAAAGTTAAAAACCTGGAAAGTTCTATTTGGTAAACGGCACCAATCGAAACGTCTAAAAGTTGACATTTGATTGATTTTGACTACACTTACCTATCCTGTCACACAAGAAAAAGTATAAATTTTGTTCCACAGTGTTATTTCTCATGCAATCATAATTCCGATTTAAGATTGTGGTTTCCAACTCAGAAAGTGGGTCAGATTGTGACTAATTTCAGCAGTGAATTTAATTTAAGATCAAGTTCAAGATTCGACATTCAAATAAGTTAAATTATACTGGTTGATAAAGGTGACAAATAAAAGTGCATTTCATCGATTTATCGAATTTGGGAAGATATGTGTAATGTAGTGATTAGTTATAGGAAATTGCAGGGGAAAATTGTTAAGACCATGTTGGCACCAATGGGAGTGATTAGTCTTCTATGCCTTGAAATGCATACGAAAAAATTGGATTTACCCAAAAGATATTTCAAATTTGATATGTCAATTATTTTATTTCATTTGAGATATCTTTTGAACTCAAAAACCGCTAGTAATGACATGAAGTGTTCCAATAAATTTGCCATGATTTTTATTTTATTCAAACATTGTCAATTTATTAAAAACAAACATTGGTAATAAATAACTGCTTCTAACCGGTGACATACATATCTTGACACTGACATCCAAACATTTGATTGTTGCGATAAGAAAAGAGAGAGAGAAAGACAATTTGTTGTGGTTTCCCCATTGAAATTAGAATTCGACAACAACACCAAAAGTCAGCAAAAGTGTGAAACGTAATTCTAGCTTCTCTTTATAATTACCGAGTAATTATCATAAAACCCACTTGCGTTGTGATGATAAAACAAAACATTTAGTCAAGAGTTTGTTATTGTTTTTTTTTCTTTTGCAGTAGTTGAATAAAGTAAACAAGCTCTCCACTGACTTGCCTATCGTCGTTCGTGTTGAACTTATCACAAAACAAAGGTCTGTTGTGATTTTTCTTTTTGAGTGCAGGCAGTCAGGCAGCAATTCATTTTTCTGGACTGGGAATATGTTATCGGGAGTGATACAGCTATATTCAAAATAAACAGATTAGATTACCAAGTAAAATAGCTGAGCGTCGTAAAAGACCTCCCCTAAGGCCGTTCGACACTAATTGCACAGAATATTTATCCGCCGTATCAACTGATAAACTTACTTAGACTTTGGCGTAATATGAGGGCTATAGGAAGACGTGGACCTGTATAGGCAATTCCGGTGAAAAGTTGATACAAATCATCAAAATACCGAATATCTTGAAGTTCAGTTATATGGGGATTATACCAAAACTTGGTCCTATGTGGACATTTCTCTGCAAGGATTGTGACGACGTGTTTTGTCACTTTGATGACCATAATTGACATTGTCACCTATACACTATTCCAAAATACACACGAACGCTTTATAGTGGAGGGAACGTTAGAAGTCCCACTCCACTTCAACACTGTCACAAAATACTCTTTAAAGTAAAGGGAACGTGGAAACCCCCTCTTTACATACAAAAGATCAAACTCCACAAATTTAAGAGCCGAAGGATCGTTAGAAACCCCTCTTAATAATAGATGGGCAAAATAATGAAAGAGAAATACTTAAGAGAATTTTACAATTATTGTGCGGAAATTTTACTAGTTTAATATTTTTCAAATACAAACATAATCAAAATAAGCTCAAAAATTAATTTATAGAAGTCGGTTTTCTTTCCATTGTGGTGTAAGTTCTTACACTTCTTGGAATTTCAATGGCTTTACCTGGAGCTCATTTATCAATTTTTGCCGAATCGAATATTGCATATGTTCAGCTCACGAATTATTTTTCGACCAGCAATGCGGGTTTCGATCAAGACGCTTGTTTACTTTTCAAACCATTTCTATTTTCTTCCGTCCACTTCCTTGACGTCGGACTACGCTACCAGTATCACGGCGACGAGCGATGGCACGAGACACAAGAGATTTATCCACATTTAAATGCTGCGGTGCTCTAACGATATCCACTTGTCGTTTTCCAGCCAAATATAAAGAAATCAACTTATTACGCTTGAATTCCACCACGAATAAAAAATGAAAATTCTTACCAAAATGCTGTTGACCGCTTGTAAACAATATAATGAGCTGTCACTGGAAAAAATTTTAACAGCTGTCGGACGAGTGATTTGAAATTACAGCAGTCTGAAGTCGGTTGCAGTTTTTCATCTCACTTGTATACCCCATCTGGTACCTCACCCACGAAGGGTTACAATTTTCAATACTTTTATCTGTCGTAACTTGCGAAATGAAGTCAACTATATCTATAAATTTCCCTCAACCAGATACCTGAATATATAATTTCGCATATAATGGGTATAAATGTTCGATTTTCTTGTAATATTGCCCATACCAATATTTTTATATGTATTAGATGAAACATGAAAATGGAATAATTCGTCCGACTATATCTGGTACCTCACGCACATGTTAGTATTTTCTAAAAATTATCACATATCTCGTGTAAAGTGAAGGAAGTTACCAATATAAACCAAACCTGAAGAAAGTGAAGGAAGTTACCAATATAGTCCAAACTTGGCACGTCGCAATACTTATATCATATTTATTTAAGTCCGAAATGGACAATATTGGCACATTCCTTCGCAACCTACTCCATAGAGGGTCAACAGTTTGAATAATCATAAAAGAAGTCCAAATATATTTAAATAGTCAAATTTTGAGGGAGAATATACATCTGTCGGCAAAACCGACAGATAATTTTTAACTTGTTATCATTGTTTTTATTTTTTTTCTTTTTAATTAAATACAACATTTGTGCGCACTTTGGCTCTTTTTATGGCAGAAAAATTGTGGGATTTTGACAAATCATCTGGTTTTTAAAGAGAAACTTTCTGTTTACTTTTTACGATTTTGTTGCAAAAAGAGAATGCAACTATTTTACTCTCTGAAAAGGAAGTTGTTTTCAATCCCTGATGGGAAAGCTGCCAAACTTAAATATTAATTAAATTGATCTTTACAATTGTAGCTGTTTCCTTTTAATTAAATAAAACATAACAGTTCCTTATAAAAATATCAATTCGTAAAAAAAATTGGGAAAAGTAATAGATTACTTATTCAATGTTCTACTAAATCTTTAGTGAGAATTGTTGTTGATGCCTCCTAACTCGTTGCATGATCCTATTCTCTTTGTTTTCACACCTAAATACACATCCGTAAACATAACGGACAGCAAAGGACTAGTTACAATATGGACAAGAAAAGGGGTTTTTATTTATTCATTCACCCATCCATCATTTCCTGAATTCTGTTTAAAATCCATCAGCTTTTCTTGTCTTTATAAAAAGGTAATACGTGAATGATGTGATATGAACAGAATATGTAATTATTTTTATTTGTTTTTTTTTTTTTTATTGACACATGATCTGCCGATACAGAAGAGTTATAAACACGTCCCGTTTTGTGTACGAATAATTCATTTTAAATTGAAAATAAAAAATAATTTGAATAGTCAATCAATCAATAAATAAATAACATTTGGAAGACTTTTTGGGAGTTTTTTTTTTCAATTCGCAGAAAATATAACCATTTCTACAGTTAATTTCTTTGGAAGTGAAGTAAAATTTCTTTAACATCGGGAACGTGATGAAAATTGGAAGTAACAAGAGTTCAACAGAATTTGAAACTGAGATATTTGAGAATATTATAGGAAATTTCAATTCAATGACTGTGCCACCCGCCTTTAAGCGGAGAAGCCTTCATTACATACCTGATTTGTGTTCCTTTAATGCTCTGTAGAGATCGGTTTCATCCAAAACTTTTTTGCGTCCTTTGAAAAATGTTGGCATAACAAAACTGCAAAAAAAGGAGAGTATAAATATGTTGTGATATTGATATTAAAAAACAGCAAAATAAAATAAACAAGTTAAATAGTATCTGTAATTTCTGCCGACACATGTATGCTACCGCCAGCCTTGAGTTATGATTATTCCAACTGTTGACCCTTTATGGGGGAGGTTCCGTAGCAGTTGGCGAATATTGTCAAATAAGTCTGATATAGATATTACAACGTGCAATATTTGGACTTTGTCGTCTACTTACTATACTTTACAAGAGATATGTGCAAATTTTTGAAAATGTTGGAAATTTCGTGATGTACCAGATATAGCGGACCGAAATATTCCACTTCAAATAATACAGATAAAAATATTGGTTAGTAAAAATTTAAAGAAAATCGAACATTTATATCCAATTTTATACCAAATCATAAATTCCGATAAATTCTATATTCATCTTAGGTTTCTGGCAAAGAGATATATATTTAGATATAGCAAGTTGTAAAGAATCGCTGACTTTTTTAGCAAGTTATGATAGATAAAAGTATTGAAAATTGGTGTCCCTTTGTAAGTGATGTACCAGAAAGAGTTCGCATATATATTATCTTCACAATAGATCTTGTGTTAGCAAAATATTTGTGTGTGTGAAATTTAAAGAGAGTTGGATGCTTGTTTCGCTTTCTTTGAGGTTTTTTTTTAATATTGAATCCCATTTGGGAAGAGGTACTAGAAGTGGTCCAATCTCTACTATCTATATAACCGAAGGAAAAATTGAGATGATGCAAGTCTGAATGGGACGGATGTAAAAATGGCGTTTCACGAGCTTCATGGATATTCAAAATCTTGGACACTTTTTGGGGGAGGTGCCAAAAGGAATGGACAGCAGATCTGGCAAATAATGGAATATGTGAAATATGAAGAGAACCGGATTTATTATTATACCCTTCACCATACATAGTATGGAGGGTATATTAAGTTCGTCATTCCGTTTGTAACTCATCGAAATAATCATTTTAGAGCCAACAAAGTGTATATATTCTTGATCAGCGTAAAATTCTAAGACGATTTAGCCCTGTCCGTCCGTCCGTCTGTTGTAATCACGCTACAGTCAAAACGAATTAAGATAGGAAGCTAAAATTTTGCACAGACCTGTCTTTTGTCTGCAGGCAGGTCAATTTCGAAGATGGGCTATAACGGTCCACGATATCGTATAGCCTCCATAAAACGGTACACCCCGATATTTTTTTTGAAAAATTTCTAATTCGTTCCAAATGGCGGAGGGTATTCAAAGTTCGGTCCGGCGAACTTACTGCTTTTTTACTTGTTTTATAATTGTTTTGGTTATTCAAAGCTTTGACCCTTTGTGGGGGAGGTACCAGAAGGAGTGGACCGATATATCCCATCTTCACAGCAGATCTGGTGTTTGTAAAAATAATGGGATATGTGAAATATGAAGAGAACCGAATGCGTATTTCGGATTTTACTATCCTTTTGGTTATTGAAAACTTTGACCCTTTGTGTGGGAGGTACCAGAAGAAATGGTCCGATCTCCACCTTTATAACATATCTTGTGTCTGAATAGAATCGAATGTTAATTTCGCGTTTTATGAGCTTCATTGATATTCAAAATTTTTAATCCTTTTGTGGGGGAGGACCGTAATCAGTGGACAGAGGTATTCCATCTTCACACCAGGCCTTGGGTTAATAAAAATATTGTGATATGTGTAATTTGAAGACAATCGGACTTTTACATCACATTTTATAAGAGTTATAATTATTCAAAATTTGGATCCTTTGTGGGGAGGTACTTGATGGAGTGGACCGATATTGTTTATTTTCCCATCTGACCTAGCACGGATAATAATATTATTATTTGCCAAGTTGAAACAAAATCGGATGACCCTTTCTTGTTCTACGTGTTAAATAATTTTCAAAAGAACTGGTCCGATATTGCTCATCTCCGAACTAGATCTAATTTGGAAAATAATATTACGCTGTAACAAGTTTGAAAGTTATCGAGAACACCAGCCTGACGGAGAAACAGACTAACACCGTTAAATCGACTCTTAAATGTCCTGAAATGGATTTGATCTCTGGAGAAACCAGGGTCTATAACCGTTATTTCGATGAGGCACCACACTTTATGTATAGATTTAATTTTTTGTGGCTATTTGGACACGACCCATACTCTGCCCCGGTTTCTAACAATAATTGTTGTTTAGAGAAAAAGTGTATGTGCGTAGGCAAACACATTCTTTTTTTGGTTGTTTTCTGGCACGAAAATTTAGACTAACAACCTCTTTTCATAGTCGGGCGTGGGCAGCGCTACTCATTATTTGGTAAGATAAGAGTAAGTTATTTTGCATTGTTAGTTTTGAGATTTTTTACTGGGTGTAGCAACAAGTCATCGTATCATATTTTAACATCTATTTATTTTTGTTTGGCGACGCCGAGTCTCGAACTCATAACATTCGATTTTGTAGTCAGAGCCGAAAACCCTTTACTTAGTAATGAAGAAAATAACTTATTTTGCCTTGTAATTGAGTGAGGAATAAGCCATTATTTGTAACCTATTGGATATTCAAATAATAATTTGTTTAGATCTTCCTGTAATTCGATATTCGATTCTTTGGCTACCTAGTTGTTGCTATGGGGATGATTCAAGAGAAAGTTGAAATTGTATTTTTTATTATATTTCAGAATTGTTATTAAATCTTATTTTAAAATAATGAAATTAATACAACATAGAGATCGGTTGTTTAAAATCTATTTTCTCATCTATGGCTTATACCATCGCTGCTCAAAAACAAGACCTCGCTCACCAGACCAATTTCTGTTTGTTTTTTTTAATAATCAAACCCCAGTGTTAAAATATAATTTATAAATTTTTTGTAAAAACTCACTTTATTAACATTTTTGGACAACATCCAGGGTTAAAAACAAAGGAAATGAAAGGATAAATATAAAAAAATAGAATTTTTGTTTTCTCTTGAACAATCTTAATTTTTGGACTTTAGCACGCGGTTTTGAGCAGTAATGTTTATACAAACTTTTGAAATTAAAATTTCATAGTTACGATATGAAATGTACGTGACCTCTATAGCCCATAATGTTTTTTTCTACAAATTCATAAATCAAAATAGTTCTACATAAATATTTGAAGTGTCACCTGAACGTAAATTGTTTAGCCAAATAAATCAAATTTATCAGACGTCACAATAATGCTATCAACAAATTATGTCAAATTTGGTATTTTTTGTTTATTGATAACCGGCGAGTAGAACATTCTTTTGTGTGAATGAAATTTAAATTTTATCAATATTCGGGACAATTTAGGGTTTATAGTCTATTTCAAAATTTACTGCTGACAAGCCACGAGAATTATCTTCCACTCATAAAAAGAGCCCCCACTCTCATCAATATTTTAACACGAAGGAAATTTCCCTCAGTATCTGTACTGTACACACAGTGTCTGTGGGAGCAAAAAAATAGTAGAATTTACAACAGACCTCCTAAGCAAAAGTGATTACTTCCAAGGTCGACTATTTAATTCTAAGAACAAATAATAGAGCACCTCTAACTATTTGTTGACTTTTGACACATACCTGTCGATCAATACGAAAGAGAAAGTTGTCAATTTATTGTTCCTGCTTTTGCTTTCTTACGTCAACACAAGATCAGAAAACAATGTAACTAAATATAAACAAGTGGGAAATCCGCGGAAAACTCTTGAAGATATCAGGTTCAGTACAAGAACGAGTTGTATTTAATATTACAGCCATATAGCTACAGAGGGTATACAGGGTGAGATAAAAAAAACTGCAACAAAGTCAAACGCCATAATTTTTACGTTTTTTTGTAATTTTATTGAATGAAAGCAAAAAATGTCGGAAATAGCATCAAATTTTAAAATAAGTTTAGTTTTGTTCGAATCGGTTACCTTTGGCACGAATTATGGTCTTCAAACGGCTAATGAAACCGTCATACGTTGCCCGAATGTTGCTCTGCGGTGTTTTGCCCATTCCCGGCGAAGCGCTTGCTTGAGGTGATCGACACTTTGGTATTTTTTTTTTGTGACAGCCTTGCTTTCCAAAATACTCCAGACACAGTAGTCCAACGGATTGGTATCCGGAGATTTTGGTGGCCATTGTGCGCTGAATCTGATGTCACGGTCGATTAATACGAGCGGAAAGTGACCATCGGCTGTTATGGCGGCCCACACCATCACCATGGCCGACGCTTGAGTTCTGGTGGCCAACCGAAGGTGCACATTTTCAGCTGACCTCTTTGGCAAGTAAACGCGATCATTTGGTTTATTTACAAACTGCTGGACAACGAATGTTTTCTCATCGGAGCGGAGAAAACCAAATTCGACAGTTCACTACTTTCGGCCAAGCGAAGCAATTCTTTAGCTCTTTTCAGTCTATTTTCTTCCGTCCACTTCTTTGCCTTCGGTCTACGCTAGCAGTATCGCGGGTAACACAAAAGATTTATTCACATTTAAATGCTGGAGTGCTCTAACGATAGCCACATGTGGTTTTCCAGCCAAATATAAAGAAATCACACTATCACGCTTGAATTCCATCACGGATAACTTTTTTTCTGGAGAATTCTCACCAAAATGCTTTCTTACGCTTGTAAACAACATAATGAGCTGTCAATGGGCGAGTGGCTTAGAAATGACAGCAGTCTGAAGTTGGTTGCAGTTTTTTTCATCTCACCCTGTATATTGATTATATGAATCTAACCCTCTAGTAACAACTAGTCAAAGTGCAACAGCTTTGTGCACTTAAGTGTTCTTTTCGATATTCGGTACTTCCACGTTTTCATTCATATTCAATGGTGTGTAGAGGTACACGCCTAGTACATACGGCACCTCCTTTTTTTAAGGGTTTACTCTTATTTTTCTGTGTCGAAATGATAGGGTAGACAATTTCCATGCAATGTGGGCTCGCTTTTTCGGTATAGCTCACATATGACAGTACATATGGTACTTTGAGGTTGTCCGAAAAATCTGTA